ACATGTATACAATACGGTCCTTTTGTCCGTTTGTTGGTCACGGTATGGAGGTCTTTATTAACTCCACACAAGCGGGCTTTGTTCCCGACAGAGGCTTGGCTTGCTATCGCAAAACGTACCACTGTTAATAAATTAAGCTTAAAACATCCGTTCTCTAAGTAAATCCGTGTTTAAGCGGAATTTATTGCGAACACCACCTATTAGTTTTTAAACGAGTACAAACATTAATTCAGAAAATTTCGTTCTTAGTAAGGAGTCATAAAATCGTTAAGTGCTTCCAAAGCAACTTTCGCATTGATGTTATAATTTTGGTGATTACTTATCTGATTAATAAAATCTTACTCAGACTCAAAAGTTACATAATAATTTGTCTATTTTCATCAACTCTATATTAAATTGTTTTACTGTTCTTAGCTTTAATTAACCTGAGACTCTCCAACTATATATAAATCCTATTAATATTATAAATGTAAAAGTTTCTTTGTTTGGATGTTTGTCCGTCAATCACACCAAAACTACTGAAATTTGGTATACAGATAGGCTGACTTAGATAATAGGATACTTTTTATCTCACTAAACATTTCCCTATGGACCACGGGCGAAGCCGCTGACGAAAGTTAATAGGTAATATAATATATTTATGTTTTATTTAGTAATTTTACATTCCGGAACAGTTTATGTACTAAAACTTCACGCATTACATGTATTGTAGTAGATTATCTATTTTTAAAGAGTAAAAGCAGTTTAAAAAAAATGTTATTTCCCTGCTGCAAGATAAAATATTCAACGTCTTAATCTGTTTTATTAGTTCCTATGGAGACAATTCATTAACACCAGCTGCAACCCTGATACTGACCATGATCCTCAGTCATGAGGGACCGACTAAGAGAGAGCGAGAGAAAGTGTCTTAATCAATTTTATAGGTACAAACGTTAAGTATATTTTATAGGTATTTCAATTTAGTCAAGACCCGCGGGACTTCGCTCCGCAATTACTCCATAAATTAATAACTATTGAAATCAATTCTATCACGGTAGCACCTTCCGTTTAACCTTCAAATTAACACATTCAAAGCATACAAAACCAAGTAATCAAGATCTGATTTAAGGCGACGATGAATGGTAGTGAGGTTGTGTTAACGGAAGGCGTGTGCGTGTCCATTCTCCATCCACACATTATAGTATATTGTACATTAAATACATAAAAACATTAAAACTTATTTAAATATTGCAGAATGTCAAATAATGAAATTTTCTATAAAAACAGTATAATTTTAATAAGGATCACCATCAGCCTTTTTGAGACCCCTCTGCTGGTGCTAAGGCCGCCCTTATGTATGGTTAAGGAGAATGGGCCATGCCCATATTAAAATACAGCCAGAACCAATGGCTTAACGTGCTTTCTGAACCAAGAAGTAGCTCGAGATAATAATTTATGGTCACCCATCCTGTAACAGACCCTTGCGAAAGTTGCTCAACAACAACGATCGCGGTCCTTAGCGCTTATACACTGCGCCACCGAGCTACTGAAATATACTTATATACTTTTTATATCATCATCATCATCACCAGCCTTTTTACGACCCTACTGTAAGGGCTCAGGCCTTTCTTATGGATGGTTAAGGAGGATGAGCCATGACCCTCCACGGCCCTGGATGGCCCAATACGGATTGGAGGGTATTATCGACTGCAAATGCAGCCGAGACCAACGGCTTAACGTGCCTTCCGAAGCACGGAGTAGCTTGAGATAGTAATTTTTTGGTCACCCATCCCGTGACCGACCCTTACGAAAGTTGCTTAACGACTACGATTGCGGGCCGTGGCGCTTATCCACTACGTCACCGAGCTACTCTTTATATATTGAGTATTATTTGTCATTTTTATTTTACGAATAGTCAAAGCATAGACACTGTAAAAGGTTGCTTATTGCCTCGATGATTCCGCGGCGTGCTTTCGCACACCCATTATCTTTCTTGCTCTGGCAAATGACGGTTTTGAACGACAGACAAAAGAAAGAATTTTCAAAGTATATGTATGCCTCAGCAAGGCGTATTGTGATATAAAAAACTGGACAATCATAAGTCTTTGCCTTAAATTAAATTGCGACCGTTATTAACCGAGTATAGTGTGTCAAGTTTTCGGGACACGTTTGACCGTACTCAGCAAATGGTTCTTTGTAAGTTTGGCCATACGGAACCGCACAAGATAAATTGATTTACTCGCTTCAGATATTGTAGTGTAAGAAAACCGCCAAACCGATGTGCTACACACACATTCGTAAATCGACTTCAATTTAATTATAATTTCAGTACACTACTGAAATTATAATTAAATTGAATTCTTAGGATTTTCATTATAACTAGTTTTCTCTTCAAAGCGAACTCACAAACAATATTACTGTTTATTTAACACACAAGGACTTAAGAAAAATGTATTATATATATATGTAATTTTATTAAACAACAAGAGTTACTGATGTTTTGTTATAAAGATATCAGCGGAGACAATTATCATTTAAAGTTGGTGCAAATTTTATCTGTTCATTCAAGCAAAGTCCGCGCAGGGTGTAATGTCATTTCATATTATGTATTTGCGCGATGCATCTCCCGTCTGTCAGATATGCACCAACCCTAAAATGTCTGATCTTTAGTTTTCAAGTAAGACTCATAACTCGCAATTATTAATTACTAATATTAGCACTTGTTAATGCTAATTAATATTGTTGTTCAAAATGGCATTCAACGATTTCGTCACTTATCCACGTCCAATTCAGTAGAGGTAAAATCTTACTTTTACGCAGACAAAAACTTCAGTTTTTGCAAATAAATTTATATAATGTTCTAATTAAAAATTCTTAAGAAACCCTTACATAATATTTTTTTTTTTTTTAATATTACTTTCGGCTGTTTGGGTGAAATGCCTGAACATTGGTGATAATACGCTCTGTAGTAGTGAAAAAGTAACAAGTGCTTGAAAAATTCATCAGTCCTATTAGGTCTTAGGTAGCTCAATGGTTAGGAAGTCGCCACAAATTGCGAAAGGTCATGGGTTCGAATCCCATCTCAGAGTGCCAGGGACAATGTGAATTTTTTATTAAGAATATTTTTCAGTGTAGCATTGTGAAAGCGAAATTGATCAAATATTATAAATTTATATAAGTTTATTTGCATAATAGCATACCGTTGCACTGAATTGGAGTCAGGTGACCCTAATTACCCACAGAGACTTTATAACACTAATCTACTTAAAGGACTTATTAAAGCTTAACTTAGTATTTCAACTGTAAAAAATGTGGAGTAAGCTTCGGGACGGCGTTTGAGAGACTGATTTCTATTATACAATGCAGATAATGTTTATTCCTTGATTGATTCAATTACCACTATTTAATAAAATTTTCACTCCAATTTAAGGATTTTCTCCACATTTAAAAATCATATGGTTTATACGCCATCATAGGTGAAAAAAAGAACGCGACGCTATCATAGTACTCACAATAGGCTAACGAAAGGGAGCCCGTTCATTAGCTATTTCAATCATCGCTTTTGTTTCTTGGGCTTTTTCATCTCCCCTCCTATATTATTTTTGGTACGCAGCTGCAGCACTTAAGAATATAGGTACGTGTACAGTATTTGCAGAATTAGTATACAAAGAGAACGGACATTTGAAACAAGTAGGTAACAAAAAAAATACTAGCTATAAATTATGCTCTTACTCCATAGATTTTAAGATTCAAAAAACTACACATAGTAAATAGTCGTTAAGCGACAAAATAATGAAACATGTATTGTTTCAGTTTCACATTACTTAAATAGTAACAAAAGAGATTATTCCTGTAAAAGACTTAATTTATTTCTGTGTAGATAATACTCCAATTAAATCAGTAACGTCTAGACTAATTCAACGAATAAAATTTTAAATAGTAGAAAAAATGTTATCGGTCTGGTGAATAGCAACAAACTGATTCTAAAATTTAATATCTATACTACTAGAACAATATCATTTAATAATATCCGTGTTCTAACTAATAACTTCGATAAATTATTATAACAGTTAGACGTAAGTTCAGCTAATGCTATTGAAATGGAGCCAAATAAATTTAATAATAAGAAATAAGATTTGCCCTGAGGTAACTTTCTAGTAAGTTAGATATATTCCCATTAAATATTAAGGCCTCGAGTATTGAGATTTATTAATTATTAAATACATTATAATTTCTTACTAAGACTTTCTTGTTCGTAAAAATATGGTAACTTTCCTTCATTGTGTAGTTATAAAAAACTCTGTTCCGGTAATTTCATTTTTAATTCCATTATATACTGCATTTATAATCCATCAGAACTCATGAAGTAATTCATATAAATTCTAAATAGTATTATAATATCCAGAAAATGTTTAAAAATATAGAAGAATTTATTCATTCAAACCAATTTACTTATAACGAACTCAAAACTACATAAAATGACCTCGAAACAAGGTATTCGTATATGCCACGGCAACGAATTCATGCGGAAGAAAATATAACGGTGTGTTTTAACATGTGAACCGAAATATCGTAAATTTTTATGCGAGCGGTAACACGGCACGGCATCATCAGAAATGATATCCTACCATGTCAACTGTGTAGCGCATGAGCCTGTGGCAATTTACACATTTACCTGCAAAAGTGAATTAATTTTATGAAATTATCGTAGTACTATAAAGTCAAGATATTGCTTACACTACTCTTGAAGAATGTCCTTCATACTTTAATGGTACATCTACATAGCAGCTGTTCTATACTGTTACATAGCTAAGTTTTAGATCTAACATTAAATACCTAGTAAAGACATTTACTAGATTTTTGAATTAGATTCTTAATTATTTTTATATATCTAATGTCGCATTTCATCCTAGTAAGTAGCATAATGATAGTAAAAAACCAGAAGCTTAAAATAAAATAGTTTAATTATTGACAAACATAAGGTACATAATCATCTTGGGACATAATAGCACAATATAAAATCATATTTCTTCCGCCATTTCGCCTTCAGTTTGGAGATCAATTGACTCATCGTTCACAGGCTTTTGATACCAAAACGTACGTCTGGTTCCAACAATCACATCCTTTTTACGACCGGGAATGCCTCGAGGAACTGATTTCTCTTCAGGTAGCCCAATAAGTTTATAATTTTTAGGTAGGAAGTCCAACTCGAGAAATGGTTCATCAAATCTGAAAATAACAATAGTCATAAATCAACGGAAAATACTTTAAGTTTCATTATATACATTTGCTTAACTATCAACAATTACTATTACCTTGTTTTATAAAGAATGTTCCTCGAGCCAGCAACGAATTTTACTTGGACAACTTGTTTGAGTAAGAAAGTTTTCATCAAGTCTTCATCATCATTTTTCCTTAATGCTCTTTTTTTATTTGGCCAGTTCCTACAATAACTTAAATCTATGACTTTTATTTTTTGCCTTGAACTATTTACATCAATTTTGTAGTTTTCGAGAGCTTGATCAGATTTAGTTTTATGTAACACAAACCTTTGCTTTAGATCGTCTGGCATAACAGATTCATCTGTTTACTTTTTTTTCTTCTAAATAAAAAAAAAACATTCATCGCATTTGTCTCCTTTAGCATGTTAAACGAAATTTTCATTTTTTTAATCTCCATCCTGTAAGTTTCATCAGAACATTTGGCTTCCGGATATTTCCTCTTAAAATCGTTGTGCATTTCGCGTATAGTTAGTTTTCTCTTCAAATATTTTGTGAACGGTGAATTATGTCTCTTATAGTGACTGATAGCAAGTTTGTAACTAAGAATATGTTCTTGGAGTAAATTTTTGTTAATCTCTTTTCTTTTTCCGCCTCTTTTTTCCCAGCCAAAGATGCATATAATTGACCCTTCTTTAAAGCTTTTAATAATTCAGTTATAGATCCATCGGTTCCCAATCCAAGTGTATCTAGAAAAAAACGCTTAGAGACGGGAACCAAATCTTTCTCTTTTCCTGGCAGGTGATAGTAACGTGTTTCGTTTCTAGAGGGAACAGCAGAAGTAGTATCAATCTTTCGTCTTTTTATTTCTGCCAATTGAATAAATTTATTTAAAAATGATCTCCTTATCTGAAATTTTAAATTCCAATACTGTCTGTCCCTGCCAAATAGCCAGTCTGTCCCTGCTCTGAAAATTTCAAACATTGTCTCTTGCACTTTCCATCGCAGAGCCTACGTAACATAGGGTGCTTCGTCATATGTTTATTTTTAAAAATGCTATCGTTTTGAGCATTATTTGTTGAGCGAATTAAAACTTGTCGAGGCGGCCGAGGTGAGGCGTTATGCCACATGTTGGCTATAATAATAGAAAGGTATGTAGACAACATATACCTACTTCGGCTAATATACCATTTATGTAGTTAATTAGGCCAAAATCATAATCAGTAATGTCTGCCACTGATTCGGTAGCTCCTGAGGTGTAGGTTATTAACTGCAAAGAATACTAAAGGGAAATTGTCATACTTCGAACTGGGTGCTGATAGCCATGGTGCCGAGCGTGGTTCATTCGATGTACGTTAAAATTATGTAAACGCGATCTAAGTTACGCAGTGCCTTCTTATAACTGAGAAAACGCTTTGATATCGCAGCGCAGTTTATAGACTTGCCATCATTCTATCGTCTAGCTTATACTGCGTCGACCAACTTCTCTCTGTCTAACGTTAATCGTTATATGTAATTTAAAATTAACTTTATATTAATAATGAGTACCCCAAGGTTGTTATATAGGCCCACTTTCTTTTACCTACCCAATCATGATACACGCTAACATAATCCTCAACAAACCTCTGTCGGTGTGCACGTTTGTTTTTCGGGATGACGTTACCATCACGCGTGACAGCCATACAAACTCAAGGGAGGCGACAGATCACGCCCCATTTGATATATTCTTTACGTATGCATCAGGTGCGCAAACGTGTATATTATGGACATTTTATTCGACACCTTTTTTGCATTTCGCGTGTTGAATAGCATGTAGATTCAATGAACTCGCAATCATTGTAAAAGGGTACCTTTTCCGTGGAGTCGATTAGGTAAATGATAATGTCGTAAAAATAATTATTTTCAGTATTTTTGTTTATGTTTGGTGTTAATTATAGACATGTGTTTAAAATATAACTATATCACTATCAGCACCAAATATTAACAACAATTACCGTCTGCCATATTGAAATAAATAAATTACTAGAGCTTTGTAAGTTTACACACCCATATTTCAAATTAGGTATTAAAGCTTGAGAACAATTAACGTTTTATCTAATTTGAACCTTGTAGCAATGGAACAAGGTTTGTGAACACACAAGATTTAGCTGGATACCCGTCCCGCACATCGAACTTCCATCAATCATCCTTAACCGGCTTCCGTGATGGGAAATCAACGACGTTATATTACACCCGAGGGTACTTTATTAATACACATAGCGTACTCACTCACTCGTAATTAGTATGACTCCTAAAGTTCTAACTTTGAAATAAAAAACAATTACCTAATAATTTTTTCAAATCAATTAATTTACCTACTTAGATATTATTTACTTATTATTTTACTAGCTGTTGCCCCGCGACTTCGCTCTCCGAAATTATAGCCCATGTGTCAACCTCGTATAATGTAGCTATGCGTAGGGTAAAGAATTTTTAGAATCGATCCAGTAGTTTCGGAGCCTATTCGATGCAAACAAACAAACAATCAAATCTTTCTTCTTTATGATATTGGTATAGAAATACAGTGATGGAGATTGCGGACAATTTCTGTCCTTATCACTTCCGCTTACTGTTTGCTATGACTTGAAGGCATATACTAAAGTATATGTCCATAATAAAGTATATGTATACTAAAATATACGTCTAAACGAAAATCATTGTTTATTTACTTACAACAAAAAATATAATATTATGCATTAAACAAAGCGCATTCCTAACACACAGATACAGCTATAACTTCCTTTATAAAAGAATTTCCTTAACATATACATACCGATACAATGGAATCCAATGAGTATAACCAACATTTAAAACAAAACTAATAAATTAAACCTTACAAAAGTTTGACTAAATAGCAATTGCACAATAGGTTATAATCACTTTTAACTTTAGTTAAATGACTTTAAAGTGGAAGGTCCTTTTGTTCACAATGGCGGGTACGCCTTAAAGCTTCGAAGTATTGAGTAAGCGATAGCAACAGTTATGGAGATTTAACTTCGATTCTCCGAAGAATGGAGCTGCCGTATTGCCAAAAAAGGCTCGAACGATCCGGTCCATATACCGGTCGTGGTCACCGTGAATCGTGCGCGGTATTCTATCACGGTGCCGCCGTTAGAAACCTATAGACAAGACCTGTTACAACTGCAGAGAACATGGTTTATACAAATACTAGCTTTTGCCTGCGTACTCGTGGTATAAATACTTTGGGCAGCAATTACAACAACGCTAAACAAATATTTATCTTTTATTGTAGTAGCCTGACGTAAAGCCGTGTGTACCTAAGAGTTATAATACTTATATTCCGCCAGCTCCTTCGGCCTCGTGGCCTGTATATGTCTGTGTATGTATGTGTGTATATATGGCCTGTGTATGTATTATACACATAAACTTTTCTCTTGAATCACTCTGCATATTGACGAAAACTGCATTAAAATCCGATGAGTTGTATAAAAAATCTCAACGCACAGACAGCGGAAAGTGACTATGACATAAATTATAGACTAACTGGTGCCCGCGATTCCGTTCTCGTCATCATCACTAAGTTTGTTAGCTTAGATTGTATTGTGGACTAGGTAGGTTATAACTTAATTACCATGAGAAAGAATTATTTTCACTCTAAAATGCAAACATCAACAACCCGTAAACGGGTTAAGATTTACGGGTTTACGGAATCCAATTTTTTTATAAATACTTACAAGTTACAGACACTTTTTTTTATAAATATAGTATAAATGTAGAATATAGTATCAATGATCAGAAAATATGTAGCGTATGAACTTTCACAAAACCCTACTTTTGTAGTAGCTATTTTTTTTTGTGCTGTTCCTAATGCCCACATACGTGATGTCCTTGTAGTTTTAAAGCTAATACAATTTTGCTTGCATTTGTAGAATGTCTCTACACAGTTTAGGTGGACTACAATATGGGTTCGGAGATCTTTGTCCAACATTAAATCCGGTATAACACTTACCTATTTGTTTTAAACAATAGCGTCCTCAAAAGGTTGAACCCTACCCGCTCTTATGGAGGGAGACCTACAAATAAAACATAGATAAGAAATTTGTTATAATAATGTTTACTCTTTCATCAATTTATAGTTTGCTCTATATCATGAGCAAAAGATCAACCGGCTGATCGCAGTAGTAACAAGATATTTAACCTATCTCAAGGCTCTGTGGACAGTCGATAAGAATCTTTATAAGGGTTGTGCCTGAATTATAAAACAACTCCAAAATGAAAATGTTAATTTCTCTTGAAACAGCGATAACAAATATTTACTAATAGATATTTATTTACGACGTTAATTATAGATTTAATGGTAAATTTAAATGGTAAAGCGCACAACCTACCTCTATCCAGGGCTTGAAACCGGTACAGAATAAACGTTTTTATTTAGGTAAAACCTGTTCTCTTATAATAATCCGTTCCGGATCGGAACTAAATGCGGAGTGAAATTCGGATGAAATAAAAACCGGTTAATTCGTTTGTTTCGTAAAAAGCAATGTTCTTACGCTTTTAATGCGAATTATATCATTTTTAAGCGACGACATTTATCATACCTGTGTACGGATGTTATAGAGTATAGGCACTTAAAAACCGCACTGAAGTTTATAAGATCATTGTCTGTAGTCATATTTAAACCGGTTAATGAAGAAAACCGTATTTCTAGTGAGCCGGTTTAAAAACCTGTTCAAAGGAGCTTAAACTTTTATGTAAAGTTCCGCATGTACTTACGTCGGACCTTTTCAAAAATAAACCGGTTTCCAAGCCCTACCTCTTTCACATAACCTTATCATTGCTTCTGTCAATACAGTTTATCAGAAAAAAAGGCCGCTAACTGTGTTGCATAGGCTTGTGTCCTACAAGTGAAATTGCAGGTTTCTGTTTTATGTTTGGAATATATGGACCATATTAAGCTTTAAATATTCAACAAAAAATATAATGCTTTAATTTCCAAAATATATCGCTTCGAAAACTTGAATAAAATAGAAAAATTTAATACAAATATTTACTAAAATACATATGGCCTTTTTTGCTGATACCCAGACGCCCATACGTTTTTTGCTACAGTAGCACCGTATCACGTCACTTAGTGCATTGAATTTGTAGGGAGCGTTTTCGGCCGACTAGCATCAGTTCCACAAACACAACACCATATCACCAAAACTATTAATCGCAGACATGCTGTTACTTCTTCACTATCTCTGATATGAATGGACTATTTATTTATACATAATAAAAAGTCGTCAACTAACATATTGTGGTATGTTTGTAATGTTTTCTTTTACTTTATCTCTGTTGTGCAATAGTGTTT